CTGCTGAACTTTGCATCACTTTCCTTTAAGCATCATTTGATCATGTGAGAGGTTTTCAAAGATGTACTGCTTCTTAAGACAAAGACTTACTCACTTGCCAATTCTGATCACACCTTCTTGACCACTTAGACTGGCCTCCGTTGTGTCTCAAAGTTCCACTGACTTATAGATACTGCTTCTATTGGCTGTTACCTATTCAATGTTCTCCTTATGGAATTTATCCTCTTACACTGTGTAAATTAGACCTGAACACACACCTCTTCAAATTGGCAGTTTCTACATCTTTTATCCTTTTTATTTCAACTCTGCATCTCACAGAGACCATTTGAACCAAAAAGCTTAACAAGCTTTTTGGAGTTTCAGTGTCAGTGATGCTCATCCTTAGGTTGAAGATTTTTTTCCCCTTCTGTGGAGTTTTGAGTCTTTGGAGTCTGTCACTGGTTCTTCCTTTAGCCACTTTTCTTTGGAGCAATCACCAATGTTTCTCTCTACAAAGAGATGAAAATATTCCATCTGCCTGACATCCTAAGTACTAGTTGGAGGTGGGTTGAAATTGCTTTTCGGAGACAGGGCTGACAGCTGAGAGCTCAGTTAATGTTTCAATTTTTGTTTTTAATCTTCTCTCAGATAATGCTGTGTACCTACTGGTGGTGAACCATCCAGATTTCAAGTCCACAGTGGAGCTGTTTAAATTTCAAGAAGAAGAAAAATCACTTTTGCATCTGAAAACCATCAGACACAAACTTCTGCCTAGGTATTATTGAGTTATATCATATTTTCTTTAAACTGCGGTGTGTGTTTAATCTAGTTTTTCCTTTTGGCCAGGGCAGGTATGGTTGTTTAATTCTCCTTTCTGATGATTATAAATTTCTTCAAGTATTCCTCTGCAGAATACTTTGAATATTCAAGCCCTTCAGAGAAGGCCCGCTCTTTTCTACTCTCATTTCCCAGTTAAGTTAGATGCTGGCTCATGACTGCTGGTCCCAGGATCTCCAGCCAAGCTGTTATCAAGAAAACACTCTACCCTCGCCCAAAACTAGACTCGGTATTTCCAACCAAACAGACTTCATAGATGAATTCCACATTTAAACTTACTGGTTTATTTTCATTTATATTTTAAAAATAGAATCTTAGATATTTCTGTGAATTAGAAACATATACAAAATGAAACTCCAAATTCAGTGCCTCTAAGATCTCCTTTTATTACCTACAGTGCTGTTTGGTGGCATCTAATTTATGTAACAGCAGGTCTATGGTAACAACTCCATGCTAGACAACTTGACAATCTAACACCCTAGCATCTTCAATCCCAGTCAACCTAGCATAAAGTCAACTTTCTTACTTGTGGTATGAAAAATTGGTTTATGGGGATACTGATGAATTTAGGATAGTAATCTGACATTGTCTTTCAAAGCAATATTTTTAATTGCCAGAGGTTTGTGCAGTTGCAGAAGGAGATGAGAGAGAGGCCGAGAACCCCCAGTGGAGTATGGTAATGCCTCAATCCCTTCTCCTCCGTTTCTCCACCCTGTTAGGATTTAGGGCATGTGTGCACTCACATGTCATGGGGCATGTTTTTCAAGCCACTGGGGCTGGGATTCAAACCATGGTCAGCCATGTGGGATCCTGCTCTTTTAATCATTATGGTATAGAGGTAGTCCTCAGATCAAGTTTTACCTCCTAATTATTATAGTTTTCTAGAATCCCAAGTTCTATTTGTATAATTTATGTCAACATTTGACTACCTCAGTATGTTAATCCAGATTTGTACACTACAGATACCTAGAAAAGTGCTTGGCACGATGTAGTGCCCTTTTATCTCCTTTCTTACCTAGTGGTTTCGAAAATGAGGAAACTAAGATTGGAGAGGACTGTTATTGTATGAAAATCAGTCAGCTAATCAGTGACTAAGACAACTCAGGTCTTTTTATGTACCCTGAGGATGAGTGAAAGTTTAGAAAACAGCTTTGGTGGGAGAGTTTATTCAGCCATTCACTCAACAAATATATTTGGGAGAGAGAAGGAGGTCACTCAGTGTTTAGAGAATGTGAACAATACTCAGATCTAAAGTAGAAAAAAAAATATGTAGAATGGAGAAGCTGAGCTACTGAAAATAATAGTAATGGTAATGACTTAATGAGCTTTATAAGTCAGGTGCTGCATTGACTAGTTTTTGTTTTTTTAAGTTTATTTTATTTATGAGAGAGGGTGCATGTGTGTGCACAAGAGAGAGAAAAATGAGCACTCTCCACAGGGTCTCATCCCACCAGGATGCCCTTCCTTTAGTCTTCCAGCTTGTCAGGATCCTGGCACTGCGTGCCTCTGGAGACCTGAATCCATGGTCAGCTATGTGGCTTCCAGTTCTGTAGTTCGGTATACTACATCCTGTGCCACCAAGGTTGTGCAGTGCACTAACCAATTTAAACAGATTATTTTATTGACTTTTTACTCAAACTTCCTTAATTAGGTTGTATTACTATACTCATTGTGAATTTAAAAAAAAAAAAAAAAGTGAGGCCTGGAGTACTTGTTAAATTACCCCATATAACACCATCAGTAACTGGGCAGCTGGAATGTTAGTTCTGGTAACTTGGTCCACAGCTGGCACTCTGAACCACTAGGGAATGGTGAAAGTATATTGGACTTGTGTCACCATTTAATGCTGGAAATTTCAGCTTTATCCAATTTCCCAGGATTTGAGGTGTTTTTGTTGTTGTTTCTCTGGGTCATTGTGAAAATATTGGTCTTTGGCAACATAGAACCAGACATAAAATAACTGTAGTGCCATAATGAACTAGAATTTTGCTCTTTCAACCCAAGAACTAGCCATATGCATTTTCTGCTTTGTCTTTGATGGTTGTTTATAGCATTAATATTCCAGTTACTAAATCTTATCATAATGTGAGCATGTTATTATTAATAGCATTACCATTGTTGTTCTTAGTTATTTACTGTGTACCCAGCATGGAGCCAAGGCATTTACATTCCTTATTTCATTTCATTCTCACCCTAGCCTTTCAAGATATAGAGAGAAAACCTGTGTCCAGAGAAGTGGCTTAAATTTGTGTGGCATGCTGTGTTCTCACATTGTGATGTTAGCAAGCAGCGTCAGGATTCAGTCTATTAGATCTCAAAACTATTACTCTTAAACCATCCTGCTCCGTTCCTTTTTATCAAAAACAGGCAAATGGCAATAAAGTATACTAAATTTCAGAAATTTACTTTTAAAAGAGAGAACAAAACCAGTTTGTAGGCTTATGTCTAGAGTCTGTATAGATTCATCCTAGACTCCTAGACCTTTATTTCCCCCATGCAGTAATAGTGACTACCACTAATTGAGGATTGATTGAGTGTCAAGCTCCCGCTAAATCACGTAACAGGCATTATCTCATTGTAGTTTCCACTGAGACTCCACACATTAAGATTCTGACCCTTAGTCTTCTAATAATGAGCTCTATGACTTTGAGAAAATCATCCAACCTGTCTTTACAGATGAGAAAACTGAGGCTCTGCACACTTGTCTAACTCACGCAAGAGCCCAGAGCTGCGTCAGAGCTGATGCACTGGCCGTTACACCCTGCAAAATAGAGCTGAGAGAAATTTCTCCCAGATCATGCCGCCGGGAACTTCCGTCACCTCAATCAGCAAAGAATGACTCACTTATGTGTTTGCTGTTGTACCTATTAAAGCAGAAAAATAGACTCATAGATCTTACATTTCCAGTAGTCCACAGAGAATCGTAATCAGAAAGAAAAAAATCCATACCCTGTTCCTGAACATTCTTGTTCGTGGACATTTTATTCAGTTTAGAATCACAAAACTTTAAGGTGGAAAGCTAGACCAGTTTATTATCCTCCTTTTCTAGATGAAGAAACTGAGGCCTGGACATGTGAAAGGGTTGATGTTCCCTAGATCTCACAAATAGTTGCAGAGCTTTAACTAAGAAGCAAGTCTCCAGGCTGTCAGGTTGGTGTTTTTTCCTCTGCCTGCTGAAGCCTTAGACTGATGGGAGTCCGCTCCATGTAAGCACAGACATGTCTCCCCTCCTAATGGTTTCTGGCCTAATTTAATGTCTACTGAAATTAGTGCACTGACACATAAGTGCGTGGCCACAGACACACACACACACACACCATAACGCTACTTAAGATACAGCCAATACGATTTTTATGTTCCCATGCTATAATCACCTCTTAGGAGACCTTAGTGCAATTACTGTCTTATGAGGACTGGATAGCAAGGACTGACTTCATATTAATTCTATGCCATACAGCTAGCATGAAGGCTCCATCCATGTCTGGGTGTTAGAAATAGACATTAATGAATGCCAATTCGTAATCCTGCAATGACACTGACCTCACCTATGTATGTGTGTATAATTTGATTGCAGTGTGAATGATATTGTCGCCGTGGGACCTGAACACTTTTATGCCACAAATGATCACTATTTTGTTGATCCCTATTTACGATCCTGGGAGCTATATTTGGGCTTAGCGTGGTCATATGTTGTTTACTATAGTCCAAATGAGGTTCAAGTGGTGGCAGAAGGATTTGATTTTGCTAATGGAATCAACATTTCACCTGATGGCAAGTATGTGCGCTCTTTAAAATGTAATGATTTACTCAGATTCCCTTTGGATTTTTTTTAGAGCATACTTTTTTTCTAAGGAATGTGATACATTTTAATGTTATTTTGGTGAAATCAGGAAAAATTGTAAAAATATCTTAATTTTTTAGTGGGTAAAATTATAAAATCAAAGATTTCTTTTTTTTTTGTGGAGGCATACTAGCTTTATTTTCTTCCTGAGAAAGTTATGGTACATTTTAAAAAGATGAACTGTGAAAACGTAGTATTACTAAATATTAGCTTTGTTTTGAAGGAAGATATTTAAATGTATAATGACATTAATAGCATGCATACACATTCGAAGGTATCTTAAAAATTTTGTTTGTAAAAAAATGGTATTAAGGTACTAGTGTATTTGGGGCAAAAAAAAATCCATGTTGAAATGCATACATAGCTTTTACATAATGCACATTTTCCATAATTTATTTTAATTGCCAGAGGGGTGTATGTACTTGCCAGAGAGAGACAGAAAGGAAGAAATCTTCCCCAATAGGGCATGGTCATGCTGACATCCTTTCTCCTCCATTTCTCCATCCTGTCAAAATTTGGGGCACACATGCAGATGAGCTGGCTTAATTTTCAAGCTTCCAGGGCCAGAATTTGAATTGCAGTTGGCCATAGTGGATCCAGCTCCCTTAACCGTTAGGCTATGGGCTGGCCCCATTAACTTTTTGAGGAGTATTAATGTATCAGCAGTGCTGGTTTGTGACAAGCTTGAGCAGTTTTCTCCAAAATGTAAATCAAAGCTGTTTCATTTAACAAGAAAGTCTTATAGGAAAAAAATAGCTTAGCTGTGCTGAGTGATAAGTTGTGCTTACTGATATAGTTGATTTACAAGATTATCTTGTGGGGACCCTGCACAAAACAATTCACAGACAAGTATTGGTCTTGGACCATAGTATGGGTAGTATTGCTATCTTGGGTCATTGGAAAAAATGGGTCTATGCAAAAAATGCATTGACTTTTTTGGTGACTACACACACACACACACACACATCTCATGTCTCTATCTATATATCTATTTATGTATTTATTTATACCCATACTCATTATGTATCATGAAGAATTTTGGAGGGTAAGGAACATACATTCAGAAGAAAACAACATGGGCAGCTTCCAGTTATTTATATCATCTCCTAATCTTCAAAAATGGAAGATAACTGAGGCCAGGGGGTGGTGTAGTGGCTAACATGCTGGACTCCAACATGGCTGGCCATACTTCAAGTCCTGGACCTGGTGACTTGAAAATCAGGCTGGGCACATGTGTTCATGCACCCAAAATCCTGAAAAGAGAATGGAGGAGAAGGGATTGCAGTGTGTCCATCCTCCCTAGGGGGTGATTTCTCACTATTGCTCTCTCTATCTCTCTCTAGGGAGTGCACTGCCCTATGGCAAAAACTTTAAAAAAAAAGAAAACTAGAAGATAACCAAGCAACCATTTTTCTTTCTGTTCTGGTATGACTCTGCTCAGACTAGCAATAGATCTCTATGGTGTATGGTGTTGTACTGTGTAAATATGAAAACTACAGTGTCAGGACCAGATTCAGTGCATGAGGGGAAGAAAACTTCTCTTGACCTAGCTCTAACATCTGTTTTCTCTCTAATTTTCTCTTGCCTAAAACAAGAGGTCATTGTCAAAGGAATTTCCTGTAGCTTCCTTGTGAGAGTGTTTACTGTCTGAAATGCAGAATTTGAAGCTTGCCACTATAGCAACAAGCCAAGTGATGCCCTGCAATGTATTTTACTGGGCAGATACTAGAAGCTGGTTTTAGGACTAAGTTTGTTTCACACTGATTAGGGACAGCCTAGTTCCCACCTTCAGAAATATCTAAATTTGTGAACTGTAGACTCACTGAGTTCTTACAGAATTTAGTGTGCTTTGAGATGGATTCATTTCCCAGACCCTAAGCAAAGTTCTTCTCTTGGAAGAGTTATTTCAACTTCACCATAACCGTTTGAATTGCATTACTTCAGGTACTTTGATATCGCTCTTTCTTCTTTGAAGGTATGTCTATATAGCTGAGTTGCTGGCTCATAAGATTCATGTGCATGAAAAGCACGCTAATTGGACTTTAACTCCATTGAAGGTAAGATGTATTAACACTATAAGTTTGCAGAGTGATAATTAGATTCTAATTGATTTGTGAAATTAAAAGTGAGGAAAAAAGAATTGTCTAATTGGAGTGGGTGAGAACCAATTTTTCACTCCTTTATTAAGAGTCATCAGCATTGTTATGTGTTTGTTGTTCACTTTTACTCAACTGGGAAACAGCAAACTACACATCTCATTCAGGAAACTTTTTTAAAAAACAGTTTATTTCTTCTTCCATGAGCAAGCGAGACAGAAAGATAGCACCCCTCAATAGGGTCTTAATGCCACCATCGAACCTGATCTCAGGCAGCCCCAGATAATGGGCACACACATGCCTGGCATACTTAGGGAGGTGCCCAGAGTGAGCGTGGAACCTTTCCGTGTTGGTCAGCCTTGCAGAGTGAGGTGTCTTATGACTGCACAACCATTTGCACCACCCTCACCTATGAAACTGAATCTTTCTGCTCAAGTAGATTTTAAGCTTGGCACTTTGTTCCAAGATCTTTTTCCCTTCCCTCTTTGCTTTCTGCCTTCCTTTATTCTTTCTCCCCTCCCTTTCTCTTTCTCTCTATCCTTACTCTTTTTTTCTCTCTTGTCCTCTATGTTGATGAAGTATCCAAGAAATAACTCCAACTTGTATGTGATACAGGACTGTCTCCCACAATATTAATAAAGCACACATACTCACTGTGACCTGGCCACCCATTACCTCTCTGCTTTTACCTCCAACCACTGGGCCCCTACCCCACCTCTCCTGCCTCACGGTGTCCCTGGAGCTCCCTAAGATGGCCCTGCCTCAGGACAGGGCACTGCTCCTTCTACTCAGTAATCTTCCTCCAGATCTTGATAGCTTTCCCCTCCATCTCCTGCCAGTTTTTACTAAAATGCCAACTCATGGAGGCCTTCCCTGAATATCCAGTCTAGACTTGCAATCCTGCTCCCCTATCCCACATTTTCTATCTCTTTTACTGCTCCCCCCCATAGTTCATTTATTTTTTTATTTTATACATTCAATCACTGTATATCATTACAGCTTATAAAATGAATTTCCCAGCATGAATACACTGTATATTATTCCAGTTAAAGATATTACCATCACATTATCATCAACAGATCATTTTCCATTTTGGTATCTTTTAAATGTTTTACTTCTTTCAGGACCAGCAGGTGGCATAATGGTTATGTTGCTGGACTCCCATGTAGTCTATTGCAGTTCGAGTCCCAGTCCTGGTAGCTTAAAACTCACACTGGGTTCATGTGCATCCATGTCCAAGATCTTGAGAGGAGAAGGGATTGCAGTGTGGTCATCCTCCCCCCCCCACCCCACATACACACCGGAGGCTGATTTCTCACTCTCTGTCTCTCTGTCTCTTTGACAAGCATAAGTGCCCTATAGCAAAAATCTCTAAAATAAATAAATAAATAAATAAATAAATAAATATTTTACTTCTTTCTTTCCCCTCTTGATCTCCCTCCTTTACTGCTTTATTTTCCCACTCAGCATTTACTACCAACATAGTAAATATTTTATTTGTCATCTGTGTTATCCAACTACCCCACTACAGTATAAGCTCCATAAGGACAGAATTTTTTCCATTTGAAGGGAATCAAGAGGAAAAAGAAAGAAACAAAATATTTAAGGGGCACAAAAGTGGAAAATTATCTGTTGATGATAATGTTTGTGATAATATCTTTAACTGGACTAATATACAGTTCATTAAAACTGGGAAAATTAATTTTGCATGCTGTAATGATATACGGTGATTGAATGCATAAATAAAAATAAGAAAATAACAAAAAGAAAAGAAAAAAAATTTAATTAGAAAAAGACCAATTTTTTTTTTTAAATTTCTTTCAGGAGTAGTTCTCAATACCTAGCAGGCACTCAATAAATACTTGTTAAATTAATAAGAAGGGATTTTAAAAAGTTCATGAAAAACTGGAATTAGAGAGTTTACTTGGGTGCAAAAAAAAAAAATGAAAACCATGTACAGTTTTTATGTAATAGGCATTTTTTCCTGAACTGTTTGGTGGGGCTGGACCTTCATCATGGGTAAATACACTTCTTCTGGTCCAGATTGAAAGTTGGGGTCATAAAGGTCAAAAACACAAATGAGAGGAAACAGAGACAAAGAACCAAGGGGCACATGGTGACAGCAGCCCCCTGCCTCTGAACAGGACATTGTTCTCTGAGCACAAATGTCCACAGTGTGATGCACTGTCACCACTGGTTGGGTGCCTATTCCTGTCGGCACATTTGAGGTCCTGTCCTGAGGGGGCTCAGAGAAAATAACCTCAAAGCAGCGTCAAATGTAACATAATGTTCGACATTAAAAATCATTGGCAGGGCTAGTTTGGTATTAGCTGAAGTAAAATGAAATTTCATACACTCATCCCAGCTGAGGGAATAATAACAAACTGTGGTTATATGGCTACTTCTGTAAATTTAAAGAATTGTATTAGAATAGAACCCAGTATAGTGTGCACTCAACACGAAATGTGAGGGCCCTGCTCCTGCACAGGCAAGATTGAGGACAAGGTTCCCATCCCAGCATCCCAATAGAGGCTACTCCCTTGACCTCAGTGTTAATGTAGTTTTTGCTATAGGGCGCGTGTGCTTGCCAGAGAGAGAGAAACTGAGAAATCACCCTCTGGGAGGATGGCCACACCACAATCCCTTCTCCTCCATTCTCCTCCATTCTCCTCTTGGGATTTTGGCATGCGCACGTACCAGGCATGCTTTTCAAGCCTCCAGGTCTGGGGCTTGAACTGTGGTCGCCATGTGAGAGGCCAGTGCCTTAACCACCATGCCACCTGCTAGCCCCATTATTTATTTATTTATTTATTTATTTATTTATTTTTGGTTAGGATATTTGCTAACCCAGTTAATTAATACCTGGGAGTGCCAAGAAATTTGATAAGCAAGTTGAGGCTAATCTTAAAATCTGTAATAAAAGAATGAGTTTATGTGCTGCCCAAATTGCATGAATATATACAAGGGGCATTATTCAGCCTTAAAGTGGAATGAATTTCTGATACATGCTAAAACACAGATGATCTTTGAAAACATCATACTGAGCGAAATAAGTCAAGACACAAAAAGGACAAATTCGGAATGACTCCATTTATATGAAGTACATAGAAAAGGCACATTTGTAGTGACAGAATAGAACGGTGGTTGCCAGCGGCTGCAGGAAGACAGAAGTAGGGAGTTATTTAATGGGTATAGAATTTCTTTGGGGGATGATTAAAAGTTTTGGAGATGAATAGTGGTGAAGATGGTGCAATGTCACAATGTACTTAATGCCACTGAGGTATCTGCTTACAGATGGCTCAAGTGTCAAGATTTAGGTTATGTATATTTTACTACGATAAAAATAATTCTTCCCTTCCTCCCCCAAAATTCCAGGACTAAGACCCAGGCAATGAATTAGTCAAACTTTCATGAGTTTCAATTCTCTACAAATTGGGATATTTGTTAACAGAGAATATATGTTTTCTCAGAGAGCATAATCTGTTAAATTCTTTGAGGACTGGGAAACTTTCCCCTTGGCTTTGTGGGAGTGCAGTGTGAGATGTGAGACACATGTGTGTTGTAGGGGGTTAGGATGAGTGGGCATTATTTATTTTCAAGGCAACAGTTCGTTTCTGGAGCTAGATTGAGCGCCCTGTTGGACTGTCAGCTCTTTCTTGGCAAGAACCAGGCCTGCAGGGTGCTTGGCACTCTCAGCTCCCAAGCTCCCTGCAGAGCACAGGGCAGCAGCTCAGCAGTCGTCTGTGGGGTAAATGAAAGCCAGGCTTTGGTTGTCTTTCTTCCACTACCTTCCTGGCCCTTCATCTCTCAGGCCTTCACCTGCCATGGAATTCACCTGTTGGTTGTACTCCTTCGAAAGGTAATATCGGAGTCCTGAGATAAACATTTTCCTCACTTAAAGAAATTAAGGTTGCGGCCAGTGGTTGAGACACTGGACTCCCATGTGGTTGACTGCAGTTTGAATCCTGGACCTGTTGACTTGAACATTACACACGGCATGTGTGCATGTGTGCCCAAAACCCTGAGAGGAGAATGGAGGAGAGATTGTGGTGTGGCCATCGCCCCAGGGGGGGAGATTTCTCAATTTCTCTCTCTCTTTCTGTCTCTCTCTGGTGAGTGCACACCTTATAATGAGAACAAAAAAAAAAGAAAAAAAAAAAAGAAGAAGAAGAAGAAATTAAAGTTGGGACACTAGGAGAACATGGACCCTGGATGGCTGGGGGTTTGGGAAATGGGGAAACCCTGGAGCTGATTTTGGCCAGTAGATGCTTGCTCAGCCACTTCCTTTGGCCATCGTTGTCTATTTCCAGGGTAAAAAGGAGGGATGGTTCTGCAAAACAGGGAGAGTGAGGCTCAGCCATGGTTTGAGCCCCCCATCCCTTTGTGGACTCTGGTTTTGAGTGAGAAGCATGGAGCAGCACTGGCTTGCTGTGAGCACCTGGCTGTGCTCTGGTCCTTGCAGTGAATCATGACCGGTTATTTACAAGGTCTCTGGGCACGGAGGTAATGCTAGACTCTGAGGGACATGGTAGATATTGTTTCTCTGACCGAGAGTTAAGAGGTAAACAAATAGATGGGATTTCTCCCCAGTAGAAGGCAGCCAAGATGATGAATGGTGGAATTAAGAATCGTTGGTATTATTTATGATCTTGGTACAAAGCCTCGACAGCAATCTGTGCAGTCATCACACGCTCACAACTTGTATTTAGAGAATAAACGGCAGAAGAACAGGGAGTTGAATAACATCAAGAAACTGAAGAACAAACTTTGCCTCAACTCCAAGGTGAAAATTAGACCCTGGGTGATCATTTCTTCTCTGACTGCACAGCCTATGATTAGCCGTTAAAGAGTCTACATTTCATCAATGTTCACATCAGACATGAATCTACATTTCCTGGTTGTTTTCTGAATGCTTATAAAAATATTGTTCACACATACCATTTTAGAAGGAACTGTTTTGTGCTTTACTTAAGAGTTTTTAGTTCTTAAATTTTTAGAGGTTTTTTTTTCTTTTTTTTCAATGTTAGGTTCACACACAGTTATCAGCCCACACCATTTCATCTGACTTTTTAGTCTGTTTTAGCTTTCTTAGCCTCCACCCTGTCTGCCTTGGAAACTGACAAAATACTAGCAGAGCTGGAAGGCCAGATGAATTCCCGGAGAGCTACTGAATCAAGACAGGTGTCCCTGGCAGCAGCCCTGAAGTGACCATGCTCAAGAGAATAGTTTTCTCTAACTTAACTGCTCCATCATCTCTCATTTTTTTTTTTTCTTCCTGTCTATTGGTCTCTCCTTGCTCTTAATCCTGGAAGTCCCTCAACTTCAACACACTCGTGGATAACATATCTGTGGATCCTGTGACAGGGGACCTTTGGGTTGGATGCCATCCCAATGGCATGAGAATCTTCTTTTATGACTCGGCGAATCCTCCTGCTTCAGAGGTTAGTTTGAAAAATGAACTGGATTGGTAACTTTATTCCCAGCTACTATTTTTCAGTTGAAAACATAATTCTCATTTTCATGTCACCCCCCCCCAAAAAAAAAAGGGGAAGGAGAAGTGGAGAGATGATTCAAATGATTAGAAATCAAAAGGACTTTTGAAGGTAATTTAGAGTCTAGGCAACAAACGGATGGTATGTTTTAATTGGATAATTCAAAGGGAGTTTAGCAAAGGGACTATACAAGGGGAGTTCAAAAAGTTTGTAGAAAAATGGAATTGAAGAATGAGCTTCTTTTTGTGCAAAAAGGTTTTGAAATCTGTGCACAGTTATTTTTTTCAGAATATGTATTTTCCATGAAAGTTTGGAAGACTCCTTGTATGTGGGAACATGGTGTATGGAAATCAACATGGGATAATGAAGTACCTCTGGATTAGTAGGAACAGGGAAAGGTTACTAGAAGCCCGAACAAGAAGTACTGTGTGAACAGGGTTGACTGAGAGGAACCTAGCCTCTGGTTGAGGGTTATCAACTAGCAGAAGCCTGGAGAGTAATTGTCCCACTTCCCCCTCAGTCTTCTCATCTCTTGCCACTGGAGAGCCCCCAGTGAAGTAAGTCTTCATACATGTCAGAGCAGAGTGAAAAGCAGGCCTGGAGGACCAAGCTGAGACCACCCAACGCTAGACGGGTATCCATATCTTTATTTCAATAGTGAGTTTCTTCACATGGGAATTCACAATAGTTTAAAAAACATAATGGCACCAGACTGCTCTGGTATAATCATTCCTATGTTAGGCACCTTCCTATTGAACTCCTCCTTCCTGTGTGTTCCGGTGTGCGTGAGACAGTGCAAGGGACCAGTCCTACAGCACCATTTGTCCTTGTCTGCAGAATAGGAGTGCCATGACTTGTTGAAATGATTTAGGCTTAGAAGAGCTCTTCTTCCACCTTAGTTTTAGCACACCGAGATCTTATTTTGCTTTCTATGATTGTTATTCAGCAGACTATTTTAGCAGTGCAAGTTAGAATTCAAAGCCCACCTTGTCAAGGTCATTTTAATGTTTATCATGGCTTTCCAGTGTTTTCTGAGTTTCCAGTTTGTACTACCTATATTTATTATTTACACCAAATACATGCATGATGTCCTCTTGGATGTATTTGTCTACAGCAGCATATTTTCAAAGCTGTAAGATAAAGTCTTAACTACTCAACAGGAAAACAAAGAAACAAATAAATAAATTTAAAGCCTGTATCTATTGGATTAAAAAAATCAAATGTATATTTCTAGTTATATTATGACTCTCATACCGTTTATTTGTAGATTTATAGGACAATTATGATCACACTTAATAGCAATCCTTTGTGCTTTTTGCTGGTTTTTAGCTATTAGGATTGCCAAATGATATATGTAATAGAATTGAATAAGTGTATGCTGTGGAGTGTTCACTGTTCAAAGCTAAGCAAAATGTCATTACATTATATGTTCTTGCTTGATAGTTTATTTGGTGAACTTGGGTCATCTGCTATAACATGAACTTGATTGTTCTGAAAAAAAAAAAATTCCTCTCTAGTGATGGATGTGGTAAGGAATACCAAAGTGTCATAACAATCCACTATCTAATGCACTACCCCATAGAGGAGTGATTTAGTTTTATTACCAACAGGTGTGTTTAGCCAAGGTGCACCATCAACTATGACCCTGTAAGTAACAACTACATGTTAATGCTATGGCGATCTCCAAAAACATCTGACTTTGTGCTATTTTTAAAGGTCATTCTGAGTTCTCCTCTTGGCCTTCTCCTGTCCAGGCACTGACCTTTCCACTCTGCTCTACTGGGTGTTTTTGTAATGTTGATATCCTTCCTTAAAGTCACTGTATATTGTCCTAAAGATTTAGTAAGAGAAAATAAGAGTGGAGTGGCAATTTAGAGATAATCTAGTCCCCCCAACTCATTCTACAGATGACAAATGAATGGAAAGTAGGAGACCCAAAGCATCATCCAGGCACCTGTCTTAGTGTAGTACTTTTTAGGTTGAATCATATGAAATGACTATTTTGTAAGTTTTAATTTTATTTCTTCCATGCAAGAGAGAAGAGAAAGAAAAGAGACATCCCCAGCAGGTTCTTCCCACTTCAAATCTCCTCTCATCCCCCAGCCTCAGCCTGCCCTGGTGATGGGCATGCATGCACGCACACACAGGGCATGTACAGGGAAACCTCTGGACACAAGCCTGGGACTTTCCCATGCAGGTTCAGTGTCACAGAGCATTGTGCTACCACTGCGCCACTGCTGCAGGACCTGAAATTCTATTTCACTATTTTTGTCAGACAGAATGATCAAATACTGGCTGTTTGATATGATTGGGTTAACAAGATACTATACTGTTGCTAATGATATGATCTAATTTCTCCTCAACTGAGTGAGGGAAACAATGTCTAAAATCTTACACAATCAGAGCTGGGATTTTAAGTTCAAAAGAATGGATGAGTTTTGTACTAAAATGTGGATTTTTGGGGGTCCATACTGTTTTCTTTGCATAAATCTAAAAACCAGAAATTAAGAGTAAACATATAAATTCCTAGTTTATCTGAAAACAAATAAAAATAACCTGAATTACAACATGGCAACATGTTGCTGGGTAACACCTCCCCCATCCATGCTTACTGTAGTCCCCACTGCTCCCTAATGTCTCATGTCCAGACTGGACTCTTCACTTAGCTTCCTGCCCCTGCAGATCTACACAATCTTCATCCATCTCTGTTAAAGATCACATGATCAAAAACTGCTACTTTATAAATGAGGAAATAGATTTTTTAAAAAAATTTTGGAAAAAAGATTTTTGCTATAGGATGCAAGCCCTTGCCAGAGAGACAGAGAGACAGAGGAAAAGAAATCACCCCCCCAGGGGGGATGGCCATGCTGCAATCCCTTCTCCTCCATTCTCCTCTTCAGATTTTAGGCACACACGCACATGCACCTGGTGTGAGTTTTAAGCTGCCAGGTCCAGGACTCAAACCCAGTAATCATGTGGGAGTCCAGTGACATAACCATTATGCCATCTGCTGGTCCCTAAGTAGATGTTTTAAATGTAGAGTAAGTTTGGGTCAAAATATGATTTATCTACTTATGTGAAGTAACATGGAGGAATGAACCCATATTTAAAGCTGTTTTAAATGACCTTTAAAAAATGTTTATTTCCTCCATAAGTAAGAGAGATAGAAAGAGAAAGACAGGGAGACAAAGAGGTAGCACCTTCAACAGGTTCCAACACTGTGGTCCATCCCCAGCCTTCAGCAGGCCCCAGATTACAGACACACGAGCAACTTTCATACGCAGGGAGATCTCCAGACTTGAACCAGGAATGTTTGCATGTGGGGTAGCCTTGCACAGTGTCTTATTTTATCACTGTGCCACCACCTGGCTTTCTGAAGTAACTTTTTTTTTTGTTTTTGAGAGATTTTCACCATAGGGCGCGTGCGCTCGCCAGACAGACAGAGAGAGACATAGAGACAGAAAGCGAGAAATCACCCCTCAGGGGGATGGTCAAGTGTCATAACAATCCACTATCTAATGCACTACCCCATAGAGGAGTGATTTAGTTTTATTACCAACAGGTGTGTTTAGCCAAGGTGCACCATCAACTATGACCCTGTAAGTAACAACTACATGTTAATGCTATGGCGATCTCCAAAAACATCTGACTTTGTGCTATTTTTAAAGGTCATTCTGAGTTCTCCTCTTGGCCTTCTCCTGTCCAGGCACTGACCTTTCCACTCTGCTCTACTGGGTGTTTTTGTAATGTTGATATCCTTCCTTAAAGTCACTGTATATTGTCCTAAAGATTTAGTAAGAGAAAATAAGAGTGGAGTGGCAATTTAGAGATAATCTAGTCCCCCCAACTCATTCTACAGATGACAAATGAATGGAAAGTAGGAGACCCAAAGCATCATCCAGGCACCTGTCTTAGTGTAGTACTTTTTAGGTTGAATCATATGAAATGACTATTTTGTAAGTTTTAATTTTATTTCTTCCATGCAAGAGAGAAGAGAAAGAAAAGAGACATCCCCAGCAGGTTCTTCCCACTTCAAATCTCCTCTCATCCCCCAGCCTCAGCCTGCCCTGGTGATGGGCATGCATGCACGCACACACAGGGCATGTACAGGGAAACCTCTGGACACAAGCCTGGGACTTTCCCATGCAGGTTCAGTGTCACAGAGCATTGTGCTACCACTGCGCCACTGCTGCAGGACCTGAAATTCTATTTCACTATTTTTGTCAGACAGAATGATCAAATACTGGCTGTTTGATATGATTGGGTTAACAAGATACTATACTGTTGCTAATGATATGATCTAATTTCTCCTCAACTGAGTGAGGGAAACAATGTCTAAAATCTTACACAATCAGAGCTGGGATTTTAAGTTCAAAAGAATGGATGAGTTTTGTACTAAAATGTGGATTTTTGGGGGTCCATACTGTTTTCTTTGCATAAATCTAAAAACCAGAAATTAAGAGTAAACATATAAATTCCTAGTTTATCTGAAAACAAATAAAAATAACCTGAATTACAACATGGCAACATGTTGCTGGGTAACACCTCCCCCATCCATGCTTACTGTAGTCCCCACTGCTCCCTAATGTCTCATGTCCAGACTGGACTCTTCACTTAGCTTCCTGCCCCTGCAGATCTACACAATCTTCATCCATCTCTGTTAAAGATCACATGATCAAAAACTGCTACTTTATAAATGAGGAAATAGATTTTTTAAAAAAATTTTGGAAAAAAGATTTTTGCTATAGGATGCAAGCCCTTGCCAGAGAGACAGAGAGACAGAGGAAAAGAAATCACCCCCCCAGGGGGGATGGCCATGCTGCAATCCCTTCTCCTCCATTCTCCTCTTCAGATTTTAGGCACACACGCACATGCACCTGGTGTGAGTTTTAAGCTGCCAGGTCCAGGACTCAAACCCAGTAATCATGTGGGAGTCCAGTGACATAACCATTATGCCATCTGCTGGTCCCTAAGTAGATGTTTTAAATGTAGAGTAAGTTTGGGTCAAAATATGATTTATCTACTTATGTGAAGTAACATGGAGGAATGAACCCATATTTAAAGCTGTTTTAAATGACCTTTAAAAAATGTTTATTTCCTCCATAAGTAAGAGAGATAGAAAGAGAAAGACAGGGAGACAAAGAGGTAGCACCTTCAACAGGTTCCAACACTGTGGTCCATCCCCAGCCTTCAGCAGGCCCCAGATTACAGACACACGAGCAACTTTCATACGCAGGGAGATCTCCAGACTTGAACCAGGAATGTTTGCATGTGGGGTAGCCTTGCACAGTGTCTTATTTTATCACTGTGCCACCACCTGGCTTTCTGAAGTAACTTTTTTTTTGTTTTTGAGAGATTTTCACCATAGGGCGCGTGCGCTCGCCAGACAGACAGAGAGAGACATAGAGACAGAAAGCGAGAAATCACCCCTCAGGGGGATGGTCACGCCGCAATCCCTTCTCCTCCATTCTCCTCTCGGGATCTTGGGCACGCACGCACACGCGCTCGGCGTGAGTTTTAAGCCACCGAGTCTGGGACACGAACCGCGGTCGACTACATGGGAGTCCAGCAACATAGCCATCACGCTAACTGCTGGTTCCCTGAAGTAACTTTTTAAAAAATATTAACCTAATATTATTTCTTTGATAGGTGCTTCAAATCCAGAATATTTTAACAGACGAACCCAAAGTAACACTGGTCTATGCAGAAAATGGCACCGTGCTGCAAGGCAGTACGGTTGCCTCTGTGTACAAAGGCAAGCTGCTCATTGGCACTGTGTTCCACAAAGCTCTCTACTGCAAGCTCTGACAGGCTGGCTTGTATCCCTGCATGGAATCGATGAACCCATCATTTCCAACATTTGCCACATTCCCAGGGGTAGCAATGATCTCAGCTGAACAATGAACCTTTACCCTAAATTTGGACATCACAAGGCATGAAAGTGATATCATGTGTAAGGCTTTTGTGAGGATATGACATCAAATGTCTTGGAATACTTGAAAACCTTGTCTACCAATAAAAGTCCTTTTCATTAAGACGGCTACAATTGTCATGTGAATTGTCAGATGTTAAGTAATTTAACTACGTGTGACCTCTAAAATACTTTTCCTAAAACACATGTTCCTTGAAAGCATGAGTGTATCACTGCCTCACCACGTCTTGTTCAGAAAATGAAGGGAGCAGGGAGTGTTTGCACATTGTCAGAACTCTAGTGCACACGTCAGAAACACTGGAGGATAACAATGAAGATACCCCTCAACGCTGGCATTATCTCCCCATGAAGCTGTGAGACATCCCGGCATAGTCAGATTTATCCCTCGCCCTTTCCATTTATGACTTTCTCAGTAAATATTGACCTAAATTACCCCAATATCCCTTTTGCTTTTTCAATTCTCCTGTAGCAATAGGCATGTAGAAAAATCATTTTCTTCCAGCCGCTTAAGTTCTCTGTGTATTCTAGTTATCAGTCCTTTATCTGAGGCACAGTTAACAAAAATTCTCTCCCATTCTGAGGGTTGTCGCTTCACACTAATGACAGTGTCCTTTGCTGTGCAGAAATTTCTTAATCTGATGTAATCCCACCCGTTCATTTTGAGGATTACTGCCTCTGCTTGGGGGTCTTGCTTAAGTCTTTGCCTACCCCACATCTCTCAGAGTTTCCCTAGTGTTTTTCACCAGTAGTTTTATAGTTTGTGGTCTTAGGTTTAGATATTTGATCCACTTTGAGTTGATTTTTGTTAATGGTGACAGATAGGGGTTCAAATTCATCTTTCTTCAGGTGGATACCCAGTTTTTTCAGCAACATTTGCTAGAGAGGTTTTCCTTTTCCCACTGGATTGACTGGTATCCTTTACCAAAGATTAGTTGGCTGTATGTTTTGGGGTTTATTTCTGGGATCTCTTCTCTGTTCTATTGGTCCTCATGTCTGTTTTTGTGCCAATATCATGCTATTTTGATTATCACAGCTTTGTAATATATTTTGGGGTCAGAAAGTGACATGCCATCCACTCCACTCTTCTTGTGCAGGATGGCTTTGACAATATGAACTCTTTTATGATTCCACACAAATTCTATGATTGTCTTTTCTAGATCTGTGAATGTCTCTTGTAACTTTATAGGGATTGCATTAAACATGTAGATTAATTTGGGCAGGATTGCCATTTTGATTATATTAATTCTGCCAATCAAGGAACATGGGATGTCTTTCCACTTTTTTGTGTCCTTTTCAATTTCCCTTTTAAGGTTTTCATGGTTTTCCTTTGTTGATGAGGATGTGTATAGTATTCTCCACTGGATTGAGATGTGTATTATGCTGGGTAAAGTCTCATTACAATCTAAATAATGTATGGATAGCCATTGAATATATAATAATAATAATAATTAAAAATTAAAAGAAAGAAAAATCTTGACATTAGGAACCAGAAGGTGAGGGACCAGCAGTTAGCATAATGGCTATGTCACTGGACTCCCACGTAGTCAACCGCGGTTCGAGTCCCAGACCCGGTGGCTTAAACTCACCCCAGGCGTGTGTATGTGCATGCCCAAGATCCTGAGAGCCGAATGGAGAAGAAGGGATTGTGGCGTGGCCATCCCCCCTGGGGGTGATTTCTCGCTTTCTATCTCTCTGTCTCTGTCTGTCTGGCGAGTGCATGCACCCTATAGGAATCAGCAGGTGGAATGGTGGTTAAGGTGCTAGACTCCTACATGGCTGACCATGGTCTGAGTCCCAGATCTGGTGGCTTGAAAATCACACTGGGCACATGTGTGCATGCCCAAGATTCCAGGAAAACAATGGAAGAGAAGGAATAGTGGCATGGTCATTGTCCTTGGGGGGTGATTTTTCACTTTCTTTCTCTCTGTCTCTTTCTGGTAAGTGCACACACCTTATGATAAAAAACAAACAAAAAAAAAAAGAGAGAGAGAGAGAAGAGAAGAGAGAAATTGTAAAATTCTCGTTCCATACTGGAAAATAGTGTCTGTTATTCTAGCACAAATTGTACAGTTAGTTTCTTTGACCTCCTTTGCTTTAAGGAGGAAGTTTGTTCACTTCAATGACTGGATACAGAAAGAAATCCATAAAATAGCCCAGGTAAAGCTAAGTGTCCTTAGTTAAGTGTCCTTGAAGTGGTGGTGGCAGCTGCGGTTTGGGTTGTTTTCCTTTTTTTTCCCCCTTATTCTAACTTGTTGTGGAGGCTCAGAAGAAAAAAAAAAAGTAGGTCAACAAACAGAAAAGATGAACCACTTTTGGCTTTCTTCTGAGGAACATGACTAAGAAAAAAAATATAACTTTATCAGAAAAGTTACCTATCTTCATTTACTTGTCTGTGTTTTGAAGGTGCATCTTCCATGTTGGGTTCTTTGGGACACATAGGTGATCATGTCAGAAACAAAGTTTGCTAAGGCATTTGTCAGGATGATGGTCTGGCATTTTGTGCAAAATGTTTTGCTGATAAATTAGCTGCCTACACTGGTTAAAAGTAATAAATAAACAGAGGGACTAGCAGACGGCATAATGGTTATGTCACTGATCTCCCACGTAGTTGACCCCGGTTCGAGTCCCAGACCTGGAGGCTTAAAACTCATGCTGAGCATGTGTATGTGCATGCCCAGAATTTAAGGAGGAGAATGGAGGAGAAGGGATTGTGGTGTGGCTATCCTCCCTGAAGGTGATTTCTTACTTTCTGTTTCCCTGTCTCTACAGTGAGTGCACACGCCCTATAGCAAAAATCTCTCTAAAGGTGGTGTGGCAGTTAAGGTGTTGGATTCCCATATAGCCAACCACAGTTTGAGTCCCAGACCTGGTGGCTTGCTTTCTCACTTTCTCTCTCTCTCTCTCTCTCTCTCTCTACCTCTGGTGCGCCTGCATGTCTAATAGCAAACTTTAAAAAATAATAATAAAATTTAAAAACAATTCTTTAAAAAGAAGACAGTTTCCACACATCCAGATTTATTTCAGTCACAATCTCAGAATAATATCAGGTGCTGTGTAAGTGCTGCTGTTAAGTGGTGTTATTCACAACCCAGGAAACTTGTTTGAAAGTATCAGTGAGTAGGATGTTTTGGGGAAAAAAACCACATATTTCCTTCAAAAAAATCTCTTGAGTACTTTGTTTCTATAATACCTTAAATAAAATTACTATATTAGTTTTTTGGCTTGAAAGAATAAGCAAATTCTGCCCCGCATAATGAAAGGTACCCTGTTTGATAGGGCACACACTCAAGATAAAACAAACAAACAAAACACATTATTTTAAAAAATGAACGAGACTCTCCCATTTAATAGAAAGTGGATGAATTTGGGAGAGTTAACGCTAAGTGAAGCAGACCAGATTATGATAGGCACTGTATGTCTCCACTTAATATATGCCGAGGTCTACACTCTATTGCAGAAACTGAAAGTTTCGATGGTATAAATGTGTGCAGAGCAACTGTGAATACTAGAGATAGGGTGGGAAGGGGATAGGCAGTAGTGGCAGAAGGGAGGGAATCAAGAAAAAATGAAGCAAAACATTTAACGGGCACAAAAATGGAAAATTATTTGTTGATAATAATGTGTATGGTAATATCTTTGACTGGACTAATATACAGTATATTCATGCTGGGAAAAATCATTTTGTATATTGTAAAGATGTACAGTAATTAAATGCAAAAAAAAAAGTAAATTAAGAAAAAAAAATAACCATTCCTTGGTTAGGAATTTCATAATATACCCTCTAAGAAAGAGGAAAATACCTTAACTCATTTTTTCCATGATGCTCATATCGTAATTTTTACATTGCCAAAGGTTTGCTTATAGATAAATTACAGTTTGTATATGTGTGAGAAAGAATGAAATTAATATCCCTTCTTTGTTATGTACAAGTCTTCTGAATTGCTATAGTTTTAGAAATAAAATGGTTTAAAATAACCCTGTACTCTAGGAAGGGCCAGAGTCTTTCAGGCCTGCCCCTTGCTGAGGGAGGCTGACTGCTTAATGGGTTTGCCACAGACCTCCTCCCGGCTGATAGGTATCAGAAACTTTGATGGCGAGGCAGTGACAGGGGAACAGAGAGATGCGCCAGGGAGCTTCTAGTGGAGGATTTGCTCTTTTAACTCCATGCCCAGTTCCATAATTGTGCTTTCAAATGTAATTCTAGCTGCCAATTTACACTTTACCACAGTTAAAACTTATTTTTAGTTTCATTTCCATGAAAAACGTGCACTTTGCTCTTGATGGATAGATATGTTTTGACAGTTAATTCGGGTTTACCCAGTCAAGGCTTGTTTTAGTTGAAGGTGAAAATGGAAGAGGGGGAAAAAATGACTCTGACAGATCTCAGTATTTCTCTTTTTATTGCATTCGTTGTCTAACAACAATAATACTCATTGGCAAGAAATTTATTTACACTAACAAATTAAATTTCATCACAGGTATTTTTAGATTGGTCAGAAAACAAAGGACCACTGTGATATTTTGTTTTGAATGCCTCTGAAAACCAAAGAATAAGGAATGTAATTTGAAACAGAACGATCTAGAGGAGTACATATTAACCAAGCACAAGAGAACAATTCAGACGTGGCACTATTGTCTCTTCCATGCAAATGATCAGACATCAAAATGTACAAATTAAAAGCTTTAGGTATAACATGCTATCCATACTTATCAGACTGAAAATTATTTTCAAACAACTCTTTTCCTTTAGTGATATATAAATGAAAGATGAAAATAAATCAACTTATAGAACAGAATTTACCCTCTCTCATTTTCCAGCTGCCCAGTTTTGTCAACAATATGTAGCAGGTATACTAGTGGTTGAATTGCAACACCATTAAAAAATACAAAAGCAGTAGTTATGACATTAGATAATATTGAGGAAAACAGATATATTTAAGGAGTTTCACTAAGCACTGACTGAATTTGCTGTTGTTGGGAGGTGTTACCTAGCTGGAATGCCTCTTAGTTCCCACTTTATGAAGTAATTTAATGATGACTGGTCAATTATTCTTTCATAAATGATGAAGTCCACACTTGGGTGTATGAATTAAATCGCTAAAAGAAACAGAAGCATTCACCTTCCAATAACATATACTTACAGCCACTTGCATTAGTTTTGGCAACCACCAAAATGCCATTACTCAGCACAGGATGACCAAAATGCCATACTTGGCACAAGAAGTAAATAAATGGCCATGTGATGGTAACGACGCCATCTGAGCCAGCAGGTAGTGACCTAAGCATCGCAGCTACCAAGTATGTCACTTAGATGTACGAGCCAATGCATAAGAACGCACAGTGCAATTTTTAGTCAAGAAAATTACAGTCTGCAATTGAAAATGCCCAAAGAGGCATAAATTTCTTCTGAGTTCCATCTCAGCAATGTGCAATCTTGACATCAAAGCATTAACCAAACATTTGAGGAAATTTAGCTTACTAAAATACCAAGTATCTAATCAATCAGTTTTACCAAAATATATAAACATGTAGAAGGATAAATGCATTTAGTAGAAATACTTAGATTAAAAAAAAAACCTCTTGAAATCTATGAGCCATTCAATGCATACACAACACAAGAAGTGGCAACAAGGCTATGATTATAGCTCAGGGTCCTAACTGACATTACCAAATTCCATATACAATATATTTTTGTAATGTCATGTGATATCCCATGTGTGTGTGTAGGCAGGAGTGATATTCACACATATGTAGTTCTGAACATCTACATGAGTGGCATGCACACCTTTGAGAAGTTGGCTTTTGTTCTCTTATTCTTTATTTTTAATTCTTTGTTGAATACCTAGCAGCTCTGGGGTTGGGGCAGGGCCAAGAATTGGAAATCAGGTTTCTTTCCTTTTCTGCTCTGCAAACCTGGAGGTCGCAGGCTGTGCTTAGTCCACACACTCACATACATGAACCTTTGAGTAACAACCATTTCCTCACCACACCCACACAGACACCTGTGCACAAGCGTGTCAGGGTCCCCTGTCAACTCTAACTAGAACTTGACGGTTTCACCTTCTGGGGAGAATTAAATCTATTGGTTTTCTTTACCCTCAGCTTTTTAGCCAGGTCTATTCTATGCTGCTACTTCAAGTTATTTGAATGTGTTTTGTCTGGTGCTATTTTTTTTCCCCAGTGTTTTGGACCAAAATTTCCAAAAATTTCCTGAGACTTTAAATATTCAAGATAAACACAAACAAAATCTGTCTATATACCCAGACTGGTTTTCATGTGTGAGTCACTGAAGCACATTCAGGTTTCCTGTAACACTGCTTTCTTTTGAGAATTTATACTCTCTGCCACTCGATGTCTCCAAAACACAGTGAAAATAGTTCTAGCAAAAAATAGGGGCATTTTGTTTCAGGACCACATCCTTAAATATTTAACTTTAGAATAGTATATAGGTCAATCCTTGAATAAAGGTAAACTTAGATTCCCTTTTACCTTTTCATTAGAGAACACTCAGGTCTTGGCATTAAGTAGGTGACATGAGCCTTAGTGACCACTGTCCATCAAAGTGAGATGTGTGGTCCTTAGCTCTGTTGGAAGAACTCCCACTTACTTACTCACATGGAATTTGGTAATTATTAAAGCTCCCAGGGTAACAAAGGAGCTAAAACACACCCACAATATAGAGGTTTCCTTTAAATCACTGGCACACCTTCCTTAAGAATCTTCTTGAACACTGTTGTTAAACACTGGGTCTCCCTCTTGAAGCTCAGTCTCCATAATGTGTGTGTGTGTGTGTGTGTGTGTGTGTGTGTTAGAATAGTTATCTAAGTGCCAACTTTCATATACTTTTTAAAATTAATTTTCAAGCCCATGTTAATCTTATTGCAAAATAACCTGGATTATAATTCTTTGTTCTCAGCAAAAACCGTAAGGGCTGAGGTGCTAGATCAAACAACCAGTGGCCGTCTTTTGTTGCCTGGGCCTGGGATATTTAGGATGTCACTAGAGATGACTTTCAGGTCACAGGTAGTGGCAAGGGTTAATTTGGTTCCTTGCTTTTCCTCTTGCCACTTTGTTTCCAAGCTGACAAAGGAGTTCCACTCCAAGCCTCTGGAAAGCTGAGTTTGGGGTTGGCATCTAACACTGCGATCAAGGACTGGCTTGGGTTCGAAAGGCTTATGTGGGGTTGGGGATGGGAAGTCAGCGTTGGCCTCAGCTAACGGATGATAGCCACTGAAAACTTCACTGTCATGAAACTAAAGGCGGCCTTCAACAGCGCACTAGAGTGGACCAAATGAAGTTTCTGCCCTAAATGAACGCTTTGAAGTAAGCTTCTGATTCAGACAAAAAATAAATAAATAAAAAAGAGAGAAAAGGATTACATAATCTGTGATTTACTTTAAAGGAGACAGTCTTAAAGTAATTTGCTCTAAAACAAAAGTCTTTTAAAGGAAAACTTGGACCCAAATACAACTCATACAATGCTCGCTGTTAACAGCTTGGCCTCACCACACATTCCTTCCCCCCCAAGGATTCCCTCCCCTACACCATGAAACACTTTCGGCCATTACTGAACTTCTAGGCAATAAAGTTCATAGTAACCAGATATTCCCTTTTTGTTCATTTTTCTGATAATACAAAACTGCAAAGTCTTTAAGGTTTGTGAAGCAACACTTCTGTGTTATACTGTATGGACACTAAAAACCACTAGCATTAAAGCAGGAATTGTGCAAGACACTGGAACCTCAACGAGGCATCATGCACTACAGTCAATAACAGAAATAATAGGAACACAAAATGCTCACAAGATCTGAGGTCCTTCCCTTTGTTTTCATATCCTTATATCAATCAGTTTACATTTGACAATCAAATCAAGTGCCTTTTACAATTTCAGGAGTTTTAAGTAGTAATGTTAAAATAACTCATTTAGGCCTAAAATTACTATAATTTAACTTAAGAAAATTAAAATAGTTATAATACAAACTAAATGATCTGAAGAATAAGACTCTGATTTATAACATTGTCAGTTGGACATTGATCCAAACATTGGAAGTGTACAAATTAAATTACAATAAAGAACAATACTTCTAAGACATTTAAGTAAATGCAATATAATAGATCATAAATTATGTGCAGAGACATATAGACATTTCCAATATATACATCCGTTTTCAAATATTACCAAAGTGTAAACATAACTTAGATCATCATTCTATTTTCACTCTTGAAATGAATACAGTAAAACTTCCAGTGTGATCCAGGTCACATTTTTCCTAAAGATAAGCAAAAATGGCAAAAAATTTACAATGGCAAGCATTAGTATTACCAGATTTCTACAAATTTAGTTTTTTAGTATCAGAAAAGATTTCCCAAATTTTTAGTTAATTAATAGTGGCTCCTTGATTCTCATGATTTTAATAAATAGTAAAGCACCAGACATCTCAAGATATAAACAGAGTATCCAGTACGGCAGTTTCATTCTCACACCCCAAGTACAGACAGGCAGCAAAGTGACTTGGATGACTGTAAAACATATTGTTACTTTATGCCAACATTGCTGAGGATTGAATGGATGGTCTGTACCTAGTGACAAAGGGGCTGAAGCTTAGAAGACAAAACTCTGGTACCAAAAAGGAAACAGGCCTTAGAAAAAAGGACAGGATTCTATGTTTTTAGGATAGATAATTCCAGAACTTGGATAACTGAATAAGCAAAATGTTTTTAAAAAATCAATAAAAAATAAAATCACAATGTTGAAAATATGAGATGGGCCCTATGGGCAGAAATCCCCTTGTGTTGTCTGTTACTAGTAATACTAGTAATCCCCCAAAGTCTGCAGACAGAGTCGTTCCTGTGTGAGGATACGGACAGTGCCAGGACCGAAGCACAGACTCTTAGTAAAGAAAGTAAAACACTTGCCTTGCCATTGTCTTATTTTGGAACTTGTCTTTTAGAAAGTTAGATGACCTCATTTTTAGAGCCAATGAAACAAGGAAAATCAGACATCTGAATGTAAAAAGTAAAACAAACAAACAACAAACAGAAAAGTCTCAAATGAAATTTTTCAAAATGAATTTATTTTCTCCTCTTTCTGCCCCAGCCTCCTACACTGGATTTAGTTTGGTGAAATACTGAAATGCTTAACACTGGTTTTAAAGAAGAGTAAGTTTCTCCATTAAAGTGTATCCTAAGTACTGCCTTAAACTTTACTGTAAAGTGGAAATCTCTTAAGTATGGAAGAGAATGGCTCAGAAAAACCATTCAAAATACCTCTAAAGTGTAACTGACAGCTCTTTTACACGAACATTCTGTGTGCTCAGTAAAAATTGGTTCTCTGGTTGAATGTTACTCAAATCTAAATTTTCTCTAACTGGAATTTCTATTTGTTTTTAAGCACATTTGTTAAAACACTAACTGAGCCCACGTGGGAAATCTTGAGTAGAAAATATGTGACAAGTTCCTGATTGTGTCATAGGCAGGCTGAAGACCAGCCAGAATGTTCCCCAAGAGAGGAAACCTGAAAATGTTGGTTTCCTTAGAAATCAATTTCCTGTTCAATTTGTTGGAAAGAAAAAAAAAAGAAAGAAAAGGAACTGTGTTGTGTTTGCCCATGTTGCTGAAATACTGAACACGCAGTGGTAGCAAAGTAAACAACAGATCCCCAAATCCCATGGCTGTATTAATGTCTAACTTTTTTCTTCTTTGCTCAGCTCTATCTAGAGGATAAATGTCACCCTCAGAACTCCAAAGTAATACCCACGCTCACATTCTTAAGGCTTTTGCTTTCTTCTATGGGTAACAAATAGCCCTATCTCTTTTCTTCTGATGCCCAGTAAGCAGCACAGTGTACCTGCCCCTGTCTTTAGCAGGTACTTATATGGCAGAGTACCCGTTTTCACAGCGAGGTGGTCTACTGTCCAGACACAGGATTGAGAAGCAGCCTTTCTTACACACTGGAGTGGATTCTGCAGCCCTACAAATAAGTAAAGACTGCACCCAGATCTCATGACAGGGTGCCCTCTGCCGTGCTAACATATACAATGGCTCAGTTTCGGGATCCCAAACTGAAAGCTCATGGCGCTCCACTAACAACACTGGAGTGTGTTGTGCTCTTGTTGGACAGGGTCACGCTGGTTCTCCGAGTGACACAACACACCCAACACAACACAGGATGTTGGTAAATGAGAGAAGAGAGAAGCACAGCTACTTGCATCTCTCACAAATGAGATCTCTGGTTTGTTAATAAACCAAAGGTGACTTGGGGCTATTTCAGTAGGTTAAAGTTAAGAGTGCATTCTATTATTGCAGAAAATGCAGTTATTTAACACAGGGCTCTTCAACCTGCCTAGAGCAGCACTGCCCTATCGTCCATCAGTGTCTTTTCATCCCCTGGAGGAGAGCAGGGCAGGAGGAGGTGGGGACTTCTCTCAGACACCCCTCGTACGAGGGTGTGTGTCACTGCTCACCAGAGCCCTCTGTTGTGGTTGATGTCATCTTTTCTGTCTTTTTGGACTTCTTCTGCATTTGTTCTTGTTCCTTCCGCCTCAGTTTTTCTCTTTGTTTTTCCATTTTCTCTTGGGCCTTCCGGGCCTTCTCTAGAGACATCTTCATTTCCTTGAGTTTTTTTTTGACCACTGCTCGGTCCTGGGATGATGTCATTCCAAGGGCCTAAAAAGGAAACACACATATACACTGCACTTGAAAACCAATGACCTCTCTACTTGATAAGGTTAAAAATCACAGTTCAAATTCATAACTAATGTGAACATAAAAGAGGTAAGAATTAAAAAAAAAAAAAGCTGATCACATTTGCTAAAACAATCTCCATACCAGGGAGCTACACTGTATTTGTCCTTTTTTTCTTTGAAGTTCCTCATAAAGTACACTCTTTACTCATCAATGAAATGCTTTCCAAATTGGTAATTAATGGGTTAATGGATAAAAAAATGGCAGTGCTCTAGTTCTCCAACCTTTAGGCTATAGACACTTACAAGTAAAAGTATGGCTAACCTTACTGATATTTTTGAAGGGTGGGAATGGGCACCTGCTGTGATTGAGGGCTCTAAGGAGAGCAGCAGGTTGGCCAATGTACTCATCTACAGTAAGAACCAAAAATGTTCTGGGACCACAATGCTCTTGTCAGCATAACTAACCATTCTCTCCCTGTAGGCAGACCTATAAAAGAAGCTTAATTACACTGAGGAGGTTGCTTGGTGAGCTCGGAATTCAGAATAAGGGAAGCTGGTTACTTACTTTAAATGTTTCATGACCTTCAGAATCAACAGCGGGATGCATCCATCTTCCCAACAGGGACAGCCCTGTCAATGGGCCTTCATATTCACAAGCTATTGATTGATCTCTAACCTTTTCAAGACTGTCAAGAGATACTCATCTGCCTATCAGCCTAGCAGGGGGTTGAGGCAGGGTGGGGATGAGGGCTGGGGTGAGTAGAGCTGGCTGTAAGCACCTTTAGTCCTTTTTCCACAGGGGTGGGTGCCACCTCAGTCTCTAAAAAAGTTAGACTAGATGAGTGGAAATGAGAGTGCAATGGGGGTGGGGTGTGGTGGGGAAGAGACACAGGCAGCACAAATTCAGGGGAGAAAGTTCTGGAGAGAACATCATCCCAGTCTAGGAATCATATGTGGGGGAGCAGGGGTGGAGGAGAAATAGATAAGGAAAGGAAAATTTATGGATCTAGGTCTTAACTCTATTGTGATGAGAAAGTCCACTGGCCATTATTAAAACTCATACAACATTGGAAATAAGAGGAGTTAATATATGGACCATGTGTTACTTGGTGGAAGCAAGCCTCTCCTGGTCGGCTGCCTACCATCTGATTTAGAACCCCTGATGAACTTTGTGAAACTTCATTTACTATTCAGAAATAATTCAGTGTCCTTTCTGCTGAGCGTTGATGAGAATTCCCTCTCAGATATGCAGAATGCTCTTATCTAATGAAAATATTTTAGGTGCTATGAGTAATACAAATTAAACCTGGGAAGCTAACATAGATAACGCTTTACCTTAAGTTTATTTCCATCCAACTGCAGAAGCTGCTCTCCAGTGATGTTCTGGGCACTGAATTCAGACACATACTGCTCCAGATTTAGGCTCATTAGCCAGTGAGAAACCTGCTGCGCACTCCATTCAAGAACGGCTCGATTCTGACACTGACTGTGTTTGGGAGATTGTCCGTCATCAAGGATCTGAGACAGGAATGTTATGCAGGGTTGTTAAAGGACCAAAATGCTATGGCTCATATTATGCTATCAAAAGGAATTTTCTTACCCTACTAGAGCCACATTTATTTTAAAACCATAAAATGATTAAGCTAAGGGTTCTAGTTGTGTGAAAAGAATTATATTTATTAGTTACATGTTTCTTGATATTCGCAAATTTTAAAATTACCCCAAGTAAAGTAGCATTATTAATGCAAATGTTTAATATTGAAAAAATATACTCTAATGTTGTAAGGCTTTATATTGAAATACTCTGGGAAGATTGTCAGATTCAAAAACAAATTATTTCATGAATCCCTGCATACAGTGCATCATTCTGCATTTATCCTCTGATCAGACATTAAGAGTTTATAAAAATACATTAAAGATATTGTGGTATCTTTTACTCAGAAGGGGACAGAATTAAGACTTCAAGTCTTCTTAGGGGCAATTTTATAACCATTATTTCATTTGAGCAGTAAGCAAACCTGTGAAGAAGGTAAGGGCAAGCAATAGCCATAATTAGTTTTAGTAGAGGAGGAAACTAAGGCTCAGAAATTTTATGTGATCTGTCCTAGATCACACAGAAAATAAATGGCAGAGCTTATCAGCTGTTGGCTTATTCCGTATCTCAGGCTCTGTCCACTACAGAATATTCCTCTTAATAGTGCAAAGGGCCAAGTTGGTTTCTAGAATCTCTATGCAGGGAGGAGATGAAGTAAAAAGACAGGAGTCACCTTGGTGACTCATGAGGGGAACACAGAGGAGGGGATGAGGTAGGCCGAGATAAGGCAAAGGAGATAGAAAAGAATGGACAATGTCAAGGTAATGGTGATGGGAGATACTCTGAGGAACTCTGGGGGTGAAATCTGGAGATCCCCTGGACTCAGAAACATCTTCAAGTGAAGCTATAAGGTGACTTCAAAAAGCTCACGGGGAAAAACAGAAGTAAGGTATAAGTTTATCTTGGTGCAAAAAAATTTGAAATCCATGCACAGCTGTTTCATAATAATACACATGCCCTTGAAGACTCCTTATGTTTAACACAGGGAGCCCTTCACACAGAGGAAAGTGTTCTTGCATGGTTTAATTTTACATCTGCAATGAGAGTAAAGCAGGTTCATGCAACACACGTAAGCCACCACACAAAGCGCAAGGATAGCTCACCTCGTCATCTATCATATCCAGGCTCTGAGCGAGGGAGCACCAAAGGAATCAAGGAGAAGAGTGTTATAGACACAGAAGGCACAACATATACAGTACACAGCTATAAAAGATTAAAATCACACCAAGCTCTAAGGATGGGGGCAGAAAAATGTATGAGAAAAAAGGTTGCACAGACAAAAGTCATATTAGAAGGAGCTAAATATGAATAAACATTTAGAACAAAATATATTTATCTATGGTGCTTCCTGCCTTTCCCCTTCCTTGGGGGCAACCATGTTGATCATTAAAGTAATTTCTTGCCTCTCTATACACATTTATCTATCTCCTGTTCCTTTTTAACAATGCCAGTCTTAACCCCGGCTTCTAAATAAATGGTTCTTACTTTAGGTAAATCTTGGGATAGGGTTGATTGTGGGAGAGGCAAAGGAGAAAGGGAATAGATAATCTGTCAACCTCCATTTGATTTTGAAGCAGTTCCCTTGATTTCCTTTCCAGCGCCCAGCCTCCTCAACATATGGGTTTACATATTTACTCTCCGGAAAGCTTAAAGGATCTTAGCAGTAACATTATGTTTTCATGTTGAGAGAGAGAAAAAATCATGAAGATTTTACATGAAATATAAAGCCATAGTCTTGATGATTTCTATGCAAAATTGATCCTAATTTCTTGGTGATAGTTCATGGGTTAAAAGGCCTGACTTGAGAAAGCAGGTCTGTCAGAATGCTCTGAAAATACCTCATCTGATGACAATGCTAGTGACTGAGAGAGCCCTGGCGTTTTGGGTTCTGCTCCTAAGCCACTCAAGTCTGCCGAACTGGTACTGCTGGGACTGAAGTCATCATTGAAGGTAAAATTCTGCAAAAAGAAAAGCAACACAGTGAGTAAACCTGAGGTAGATATGTTTGTGAGTTCTAAGGGAGCTCTTTTTAAACAATCTTAGAAGACGAAATTCATGTCTGGCTCAGTGATGACCTTCAATGACACAGTGGTTGAGCCTTGTGTGGTTGACAGGGAATTCTGAGCACTTTCTGCATCTGATGAAGGGATATGTGTTTAAGAGAAATGATTCTTCAATCTCTCTTCAAGGGTTCAAAATTCATTATCCTCTGCAACTGCTCAGAGGAATAATATTAATAAGCCTACCTGCTTGGACCCTAATCATGATGAGTAACAGTGTAAGTAAAAATACAAGATGGTGTGGTGTGGTTGAGTTGTTAGGAACAGGTGGTAACTCCTATTAGAAAGGTAGCTAGTGCATCTCTTGGGAAGGGTCACTGTTGGTCATGATAGATACTGTGAAAGATGGCAGATTCTCTCCTGGATGTACCCTTTGAGATGATGAGTTCTAGAGAGCTCATGGTCTGACAATGTCCTCATAGTTAGGTGCTAAAAGACAACTCTCTCACAGCCCCAGCAGAGTACTGAAGAGGTTGTGACATAGAACAGACACACATTCCAAAGAATCACCTGGTGGAGGTGGGGTGGTGGTGCAGAGGGGGAGGTGAGAATATGCAAATAAAACTTCCCTAGAACGTCATTAAAATACTCAGTGGATATTAAAATCAAACAATGTAATAGTGATTACATAGTTGCATTTGTGAAAATATTTTAAACCAAATCTGGAGTCTTTTCAGTATAAAATAATGGTAGAACTATTCAAGCAGAATTTAAATGTCTAGACACAATAATAAGAATGTTTCAAGACCAATGTAGTCCAATGCTAATAATTCTAGAACAGTTGGATTCCCAGGAACTCTAGGCACTTGACCAACAGCATCTTGTTTGATATTTTACTTCCTTGGGAATTGAACTTTTAGTTTCCACTAGGTTCCACTGCATTGGGGTTAGCTGGTTATCAAGAATAAACGTCATGCCAGAGGCTGGAAAATTCAGTACCAAACAAACTCCAGGTTTGCTAAAACTTCAGAAGAGGAGTCTAAATCAGAACACATGGAACTAGGTCAGTAAAACATCTAAGCAACAGGGTATTTAACACAGAACATTACTATTTAACATTTTCAATACAGACACAGCCAAACTCTGGTCAAAACCTTTTGTGCTGTTGACCTTGAGAAAAGAATTAAATTTGAATAACATTAATCACAGGTTTCTGCTTAAGAAAGAAAAGTGAATACAGATAAAAGGAGACCAAACAACATGTGAAAGTTAGCCACCATATGTGTTTCAATAAAATGTTAGATAAGGTTTGCAGTGTCATGCTGGAAACAACCATCATGCATTTAAAAACAAATAACACCCATGCATAGAACTAGTTCTGCGGAAGTTGAAGAATTTTGCTGATAAAGAGTTATAATAGTCATTTCACATGGAAATCTAATATTAAAAGAAGAAATAAGTAAGGGTGCTATGTCAATATTGGTTTGTTTTAGAGTTTCGTTGAAAGCATATTCAGTCCAAAACTTACTTGTTCTCTAGTAAATCTCAAAGAGCACAGTAAAATAGTTTTGTAATGTAATTTAAAGCAGAATACTTGGTAAACAGATCTATCATACTGTTCCATGATTCAAATGCATCTTTCCCAGCATGGCTTAACTGTCAAACTGAGATTAAACAGCACTGTGAAAAGACAGGCAAATCAAAGAGTAGTGTACAATCTAGAATGGAATAGTATTACAGCAAGTGACGGTTAAATGAGGCTGTTTTTCCCACACAAGAAATACCATGCATTGTTTATTGGAGTGTTATCACATTGGTTTCTCGGATCCAGAGTACACACAGAAGTTGAGAATGCCTTCCAAAGATTGAAGAGGAGGAGGGATTTGGGTTTTTCTTGTTTGCTTTTTTAATCCATGTGTTTTCTACCTTGGACCCCTTTTTATCTGAAAATAGAGCCTCAGGTGAAGGCTGAAGGGGACTTGTAGGTGAAGGCAGGTTCCCGAAGGAATAGGATCCTTTGCAGCTTTCATTAAACCAGGAGAAAGGCATGCAAGGGGAGCGAGTGGAGGCCTGAGGTGCTGAGGGTGGCTTGGGTTTCCAGTTCTCCAGCCTGCCTCTGAAGAACCTGTTTTGTGAAAAGAACGGGTGTGTTAGACAAAGAAAGGGCATAGATAATACTTATTGAACCCCCAATTCTGAAGGGACTCTGAATACAGTTTGAAGTGCCAGTTTGAGAAATCATTCTACTCCACAGAGTAAAAACTTCAGACTAGTGCTTAACTGATATCCTTTTTGCATCTAACCAGATGCTGTGACAACAATCGAAATTTTCCTACTGCTACTGCCATGATGGATTTTTATTAGATGTGCCTAAAAAGTGTTATGTGGATGAATTAAAATCAGGGAAGGGCACAGTCTTTTAGGTACTGCTATTAGATGAGCTATCCCAGCATTCCCTCCATCTGGGTGACATGTCAGTGCCTCACTGCTAGTGACATCAGCTCATAACCAGCATTTTTTTTTAAGAATTTCTGATTTTATTTTATCTTATTTGTTATTGTTATTATTATTATTATTAATTTGACCATAGAGAGACAGAGAAAGAGAGAGAAAGGAAAAGTAAGAAAGCAAGCCGCCAGGTCTGGGACTTCAACCGTGTTCAGCCATGTGAGAATCCAGCACCTTAACCACTGTGCCCCTTGCTGGCCACCATAACCAGCATGCTTTCCTGTCTTCCTCTGTACTTATGTCCCTAATGGTTGGAGACTTTAGAAAATGACATGTTTAAATAATTTGGAAATCTCAAGAGTTTAGATACTTTAAGCAGAACACAGATCTTACTGACTTTCATCATATTCTTAGTGTCTTTTTGCAGCAGGTGCATGAACCTGATATCCTCCTATCTCACTTGGAAGTCTGGGGTCAATACTTCCTGAGTATACGGTCCTGGGCCTTGGCTCAGTTTCTATTTCCTCCTCTGTAAAAGAGTAAATACTTTTTATCTATCTCATTTGTGGTTGTTAAGAACTAAATGAGATGATGGCCAAGACACAGTAGTGCAGGGCTGACATGCCACTCCACAATGCTGGAGTCATGATTCTCAGGTCAACTGAACACTCTGGGAGCAAGTGCATGCATGCCTGTGATCCTGACTGACTGGGAGTGCTGGGGGCAGGATCACAGCATGGGTCTCTACTGAAGGTGCCTATCTTTCTCTTTTTTACTTCTCTCTCTCACGAGATAAATAAACTAAGAAAAACATTTTTTAAAGAATTAAATTAGATAATATGCATGTAAGTGCATTGGAAACTGCCTAAGTATAAAGGTCTATATTAATTGTTTAACACTTAAAAGATTCAAAAACATTTGGAGAACATTTTTCAAAGCTTAATGCAGATACTTTCATATTAATATTTATCTTTCTATTGAGAGAAACAATTATTGAGAGTCGAAGAAGGAAAGAACAGTGGTTTGTGTGTATCCTGGAAGAATTCAATCTGAATATGTCCAAATTATACTTGGTAGAATGTCTACTATTTGATAGCAGTTAGTATCATGACAACAGAGAGATTTCCTTTCAATTTACATGCATGAACACCATAGCTAGACAACTTCTGCCCCACATGTACATGAATTTCCATCTTCTCATATCTCTTTATAAACATATTTTCAATTATTGCATATTTCAAATTTCTCTAAATAGAATAATTCCAAAGAATTCCTGTTTACTTCCAGATATTATTGCGGAACTCAAATGAGACAATAAATGTAAAAGCCTCTTATACATTTTAAGGTATATACAAGTATAAATAATTGTAAGAATAGCATCTATAACTAAAGAAAATGGAGAAGTCAGGGAAGTTGTAAAATACTGAGGTCAGCAGGTTAGGTGAGTAAAACTTTTGGTTCTAATAAGGATTTCAGACAATCTGATTATTTCAATAGGGTATTTCTTTAAATCAATCAATCAATAAAAAAATACATAAGAAGACAATGAAGGGACCTATGAAGATAATAGAGAAAAGACCAACCAGAGACATATTAACCTTCAATTTCATCCTAAAGTCTAAACAAACAAACAAACAAACAAATTATCCTTAAATCTACCTACATGGAAGTGGTCTGAACCTGATTATCAAAAGATGGGAGCAAGGACAATATAACAACTGAACTTAAAGCATGTTAACAGGCAGCTACGTCTTCTAGAAGAAGCATTTTACTGCTGGGCCACAGACTAATGTAATAGTTCCCTAACAAGCCTGATATGAGTCAGCTGGGCAGCTGTTCAACACCAGATCTTGGCACCCAGAGTTCCCGAATTACAATTCAGAACAAAGGAATGGAGGAGTTGACCTGGAATCTGTATTTTAACACAAGTATGAGCTCAATTTTAAAATCTTTAATATCTACATTTATTAACACTATCCTGAATGCAAATACAAAATTTCTGGTGCAGAAATTATTTGCTTACAGAAAATTGTCATGCTGATTCCTTATGCCTCAGTTTTCCCCTTCCAGAGTGACCTACTGAGAATTACAATAGATGTCATTTTATTTATTTATTTATTTATTTATTTTTTTTGTATGTACATTCAAATGCATTGTTTAGCTTACAATGTGAGCATTTCAATATGTGAAAATTTCTCCCCAGTCCCGTTGATCAAAATATCTTCAACTGATAACACCACCCTTCCCCATCCCATCAATGTTCTACCTCTGTATCCCTTCTCAAATGTCCTTCGTTAGGCCCCAAGTCCTTCACAGGTTCAATTTGTATACATTAAGGGGATAAAATTTCTCCCTTGCTCATAGGCTTCCTCTCCTATATAAACATCCAGATTCACGGTTTTAGAGTTCCTCCCCTACAGTGTGGACATGTAAAATGACATAGATGTAGACGTGTAAAATGACATGGATGTAGACATGTAAAATGACATGGATGTAGACATGTAAAATGACATGGATGTAGACATGTAAAATGACATGGATGTAGACATGTAAAATGACATGGATGTAGACATGTAAAATGACATGGATGTAGACATGTAAAATGACATGGATGTAGACATGTAAAATGACATGGATGTAGACACGTAAAATGACATATATGTAGACATGTAAATGACACAGATGTAGACATGTAAAATGACATCAATGTCATTTTACATTTTACATGTCTACACTGTAGGGGAGGAACTCCAAAACCATGAATCTGGATGGTTATATAGGAGGGGAAGCCTATGAGCAAGGGAGAAATTTTATCCCCTTAATGTATACAAATTCAACCTGGGAAGGACTGGGGTTTTCACTCTTTGGAATGTAAATACTTGTCTTTATAGGGAGATAAGATGAGTAACTCCAGCTTTCAAACCTTTGAATTGTCTCCAAAGAGCTGTGTCCCATCTCCCTCTTCTCTCTCTCCCTTTAAAATGTTACCACACACATCTGGGAGGGTGAATCTCTCTGGCATTTTCGCTATCTATCCAGTCATAATTTAACTTCTGAGGCTTGTCTTTTAGTTGAGGTCTTGTATTCTAGTAAAAACTCTCAGAAAGCTCTACCATGCAGAAACATAAAAATATTTTCTCTGCAGTTCCACACTCCTATAATTGGGCATATCTGAGAAAAAACTAAACCTTATTATCTGAAGCAAGAAATTTTTTAAAAGAGTTCTATCTATAATTCCAATAAAATATGATCATACTTAAACATACAGATACTGTTTTAAAGTTATGAAAAGGTCATTCATTAATGACGTGACAATCTTGTCCTATTCCCAAGTGAGCTGACTTTGTCACAATGCTTTTAGAATCATCATTATTTTTTATTTATTTATTTTTTTGGAGAGGTTTTTGCTATAGGGTGCATGCGCTCGCCAGAAAGACAGAGAGAGACAGAGAGACAGAAAGCAAAAAATCTCCCCCCTAGGGGGGATGGCCATGCCACAATACTGTCTCCTCCATTTTCTTCTCAGGATCTTGGGCATGCACACACACACAAGGTGAGTAAAACTTTTGGTTCTAATAAGGATTTCAGACAATCTGATTATTTCAATAGGGTATTTCTTTAAATCAATCAATCAATAAAAAAATACATAAGAAGACAATGAAGGGACCTATGAAGATAATAGAGAAAAGACCAACCAGAGACATATTAACCTTCAATTTCATCCTAAAGTCTAAACAAACAAACAAACAAACAAATTATCCTTAAATCTACCTACATGGAAGTGGTCTGAACCTGATTATCAAAAGATGGGAGCAAGGACAATATAACAACTGAACTTAAAGCATGTTAACAGGCAGCTACGTCTTCTAGAAGAAGCATTTTACTGCTGGGCCACAGACTAATGTAATAGTTCCCTAACAAGCCTGATATGAGTCAGCTGGGCAGCTGTTCAACACCAGATCTTGGCACCCAGAGTTCCCGAATTACAATTCAGAACAAAGGAATGGAGGAGTTGACCTGGAATCTGTATTTTAACACAAGTATGAGCTCAATTTTAAAATCTTTAATATCTACATTTATTAACACTATCCTGAATGCAAATACAAAATTTCTGGTGCAGAAATTATTTGCTTACAGAAAATTGTCATGCTGATTCCTTATGCCTCAGTTTTCCCCTTCCAGAGTGACCTACTGAGAATTACAATAGATGTCATTTTATTTATTTATTTATTTATTTATTTTTTTTGTATGTACATTCAAATGCATTGTTTAGCTTACAATGTGAGCATTTCAATATGTGAAAATTTCTCCCCAGTCCCGTTGATCAAAATATCTTCGACTGATAACACCACACTTCCCCATCCCATCAATGTTCTACCTCTGTATCCCTTCTCAAATGTCCTTCGTTAGGCCCCAAGTCCTTCACAGGTTCAATTTGTATACATTAAGGGGATAAAATTTCTCCCTTGCTCATAGGCTTCCTCTCCTATATAAACATCCAGATTCACGGTTTTAGAGTTCCTCCCCTACAGTGTGGACATGTAAAATGACATAGATGTAGACGTGTAAAATGACATGGATGTAGACATGTAAAATGACATGGATGTAGACATGTAAAATGACATGGATGTAGACACGTAAAATGACATATATGTAGACATGTAAATGACACAGATG